CTATTATCAATTATATACAACCTTCCAATTCACAGACAGAAGACTTCTCAATGTCAGCTGTTGAGCACCTGCATCTGGCTAATTTCATGCCTATTGGAAACAAAATACTGGACAAGATCACCATCTCTTAAATTTAATGTACTGATTACTTTTGGATTCATTCTGCTAACAGGAGGGAGGCTTGGGGGGGCGGAGAAGGACTCATCAAGGTTTGGTGGAAGGATGCAGACCTATTAGATCAATTCAACCCAAGTGATTAATGGATTCTGATGAGGTCCAGAGGGAGCTTGGGATTTTCCCCTGAGGATCTAGTGGCCAGTTCAATAGAGGACATAGCGACTGTTTATAACGGGCATATGATAAGAGCCTTGGATAAGACTGAACCTGTGTGCTTCTCACTATGCATCAGTCCAGGGGTGTTCCTTGCTTTTCTGGGGGGCTTCAAAACTTAAATTTCAGAAGAGATGCTTAGAGAGCCATTGGAGAATCTTGAACCATGAATCCAAACAAACATGACTAAGAGCATGGGGATTATATTAGGGTCACAAGAACAACAAACATATCCAACCATTCTCTGAAAAGGAGAGCCATTCTGAATATAGAAACACTCTGTCAGCACAATCATTATTATTCACAAGAGTACTTTTCGGGGGGTGGGGGGGAGAAATCTGCCCTGCTGACATAATAATGATTCTAAAAGTTTCTCAACTGGTTTCTACACTTAAGGGGCTTAGAGCCTGCAAGAACAAACCAGTGTTTCCTGTTTGAACAAGTATTATTGTTTGAAGGCTTTTTCAAACAAGCATCACATGCAACTTGCAATGGCATTCATCTGAACGATAACTGGGAAGATGGTGGCTCCAAGAAAAATAAATGTGGAGAGCTGCCGAAAAGTATCGACAGAAAGAGAGTAACCAAGAATAAAGAACTGCCTTAATAGTTGCTTTGAAGGGAAAGAGAAAAGGAGCTTTAGCTTTCTTTCATTCATTCCCTGGTTACATGGGAATGGAGATATAGCAGTTTTTCATCATTTTGCCCTATAATGCTTTCTCCTTTATTTTGGAATGAATGAACCAAATCACCAAGGACTGAAGTACCGTCATTTAATCATTCATATCTATTGTGTGGTGGGTGGGGGGGAGGGTGTCAATTTTTTAAATAAATCAAGGGATCCCTCAGGAAGAGTTCATAAAGTCAAGATGGTAGGACTATTGATTTTGATTGATGGATGCCATCTTGACTTTTTGATCCCCTTCCTCCAGAGATGATATTCAGCAGGTTCTGACCAATTCTGGAGAACCGGTAGCGGAAATTTTGAGTAGTTCGGAGAACCAGCAAATACCACCTCTTGACTGGAGATTTTCGTGTCCTTCCCCTGCCACACCCACCAAGCCACGCCCAAAGAACTGGTAGTAAAAAAAATTGAACCCCACCATTGCCTTCCTCCATTCATATAACTGCCCTCAGCCTTGGTTTATCGCCCAAAGCTGGAGAGATTTTGGGGGGAAAGCTGGATTCATTTCAATTTCTATGGGGAAAACAGGAGGAGAGAGTATTAGGTATGTTCATCACGAGTTATTTATAAAGTAATAAAGGAGGGATAAAAATCTAATAAATAATAACAAGATTATTGTCTCTCAGCATGCCTGCATTTTATTTATATGCTGTCTGTATTCAGCATTTTTATTACTTGAAATTTATTATGTGACTTAAAAAGGATTTTACAGCTTATTTGAATTGGATTCAGTCAGATAAACTTTTTAAAAAAGCAACACAAAGAACAAAGATGCAAAAATGAACAGATTGGGAGAGTAGTGCATTTTATAGTTTAGTAAGAAAGGAAAGCTAATGCAAGACTGCCCTCTGTCTGTAGCAAGAGCAATAAGAGCAAGATAAATATCTTTAAAATCCTTTTAAACATTTTGCATTTAACAATTTTTTAATTAAATGCCATGTTCTATAATTTCCTTACTTCTCATTAGTTAGTGAATACACACAATATGAATCTAAGCCAACTGTAATTCTCATGTACTACATAATTATATGAAATCCATTCCTAAATCTTCTTCCCCCCCACCCAAGAAAAAAAATCCAGAAACTTGCATATTTGCCTAAGCAGCAATCCATAATAGAACAGAGACAGTAGTATGATAAGAGATGGGACTTAAGTAAAACAATACTAATAGTATAATTCTCTTGCCACAACAGTCTGTAAACCTGGTATGGGCTGAAATGTTATGTAATAAGTCTCTCCCAGCCAATCCTGGTGTGTTTGTGTGTGGGCGCACGCACACACACACTTGCCTTCAAGTCAGCCTTGAATCTTAGCAACTACATGGACAATTCCTTGCAGTTAGCAATATTTTCAAAAGTATTTTATACTTGCCTGCTCCATAAAGCTGAGGCTGACTGACCCAAAATCATCCAGCTGGCTTGGGTGGCGAAAGCAGAACTAGAACTCAAGTCTCCTGGTTTCTTGGCTGGTGCCCTAACCACTACCTCAACCTGGTGCCCTTTTCATTGTACAGGATTGGTATACAAAGAATTCAGGAACATTGGCTGACTGCAGAGTTTAAAGTTTAAAGTAAGCACATCGTATTATTAGGCTGAGTGTATTTCCACAAGGTTTGTTGTTGTTTTGGCCAGATAAACCTAAAGGAATGCATTCATGGCTGGCTAAGGCAGAAGATAAGGAACAGGAACAAGGAAAGTCCAGTGTGGATTGCTAAAATATCTTTCCAGAGGGCAAATGAAGGAGTCCTCTTCTTTCCTCACGTTGAGCAAAACATTGAGTGTTTCTGTGCAAGTTTACCTTTGCTCTGAAAGAATAAGGAGCTTGCCAAAGCACCATTGAGGAAACCACCACCATTGAACCTGTAGATGGCAGAAGTTCCTAGCCATGGGATTCCAGTCACCCACAGCTCTGGAGCAAACACTGCAAAATTCTTCTCACAACTCCTCTGGAGGAGTAGCTGAACTGAGTTCTTTGGCTCAGTTTACAAAAATCTCTGAAAGCAGCAGAGCATTGTGAGATCACGCAGGCATGGCACCAACCTCATGAAACAGGCCTGAATTTTTAGATTGATACTTGCCTGCGAAAGACTTAGCTTGTAGTTTGGATGCTTTTTGGAGCAGCTAAAAATGATGAGCTATTTTATTCCCTTATGCATTAACATTAATATGCTACATTTGTATTCATTTGTAAATGTATTTATCAGAAATAAGGCAACTTAAATTTTTATTTAAAAAGAAAATGTTATGTCACACATAACATATGCTAAAGGTAGATAATCGTACATTTCTATAGGCAAGTATTATGTTTTTAATAAGAATAAACTTTATTAGGACAATTGGCCATTTAGGTAGTTCTTAATTACTGACTGCAAAAAAAAAAAACATCAAAAAAACCATAACAACTTCATTGCAAAAATGCAATTGTTCAGTGGATCATCACATGACCATGACTTGTAACTTTCTGCCCCCTTCCCCATTGAGTGTTGTTGTTGGAAAGTGGCTGTGATCATGGGGGTGATCACATGGTGAGCACTTACGGTAACTTCTGGATGCTGCAACTATTGTTAATGCATGCTGGTTGCCAAGTGTCCAAATTGTGTTCACGTGACTGCTGGCATCCTATAATAGGCACAATTTCATGGACAGGTGGTCTCTTTTTTCATCATGTGCCATAACTTTGCACAGTTACTGAATGAGTGATCAATAAGTGAGAACTACCTGCATTATTTTAATGTTGTCAAATAATGAAAATATGATTTTCCCACAGAAAGCATACAGCTGGTCATGTAGATATGACTATTGTTTAAATACTCCTGGTGTGAAAATGGAGCATTTCTAAGAGCAGTTAAGATAGTATTAAGATTACTGCTAGCATACTTTAACAAATTATACATCAATAATGAAGCCTGAGAAAAATATAGTTCATGTCCCTTGAAAATCTAGCCAAGTCTAGAGATCTGAAAGATTTATTCACGCATACATATTTTGCAACATATATTTTGCAACTTTGCTTCAATATTTCCAAAATAATTTCAATACACTGCTGATATAGCTCATTAATTTTCGATGTGATAGTTGTAGTCCCAAAGTTACATTGTATAAAAATGCTACCAAAATCTTAAAGAAAACCTTGTGGAGGTTTACCCTCAAGGAAAATAACATCAGGATTGTAACATCCTGAAGTAACATCAGGATTGGCCCACCTCAATCCAGTCTCAAAGACAATCTCTCTTAGACCACTAAAAGGGCTAGCTATCTCTCATTATCTTTTTATAAATGTCTTAGCATGATTTGGATAGACACTCTCTTACATGAAATACTGGATCAAATGGAATTTTGCTTTGATTATAAAACAGAATTGTGATAACAGAATGAAAATAAAAAGATCACAATGACAGATGAAGAATGCTACATTACACCACGGACATACCTGCCTTGAAAATTTATTAAAAATCAAAGAATACAAAACTTCACATAAAAATATGTATTTTTAGCTTCCCACATTGTTATTACACACAAAAATGAACATGATATTTAGCAGTCATCCAGAGGCATAGAACGTAACTAGCGTGATAGCCAGTGCAATTTATGGTTAATCATGACTGAGTGGAACATGGTATCTGCTTCTTTTATGTCTATCCTGCTTTTGAATGGAACTATTTAGAACATCAATATTTCAATAATGTAGATTCAGAATCAATATTGCTAACATGTAGAACGATTATAGGTTTATAATCAGCCCTTGAATGGTTTATTCAAGTTTAGATCCCTTCCTATACCAAATTCTACTATGAGCCTTTCATAAGGTTTGAAAAATAATCAAAAACATCGATTCCATTTTCAAGCAGAGCTGAAGTTTTGGCAATTCGCAGTTAGTTTGCTCTTTATTTGTTATCCAATTACTGTTCACCTGAAGAATTAACAATCAGAGGTTGATATTATCAAATGTTGCTTTGGAGAAGGAATTTTGAGGAGATGCTTTTTTCAAAAGGTGGGTAGCATACTTAAGGGGCTTCAGTATGGGGTTGGGGACCTAAAAACCCGTGTATATCTAGAACATAGTTTTAAGATTCAAGAGTCATTTCCAGAGGAAATAATATATAATCTGTGATAAGGAGTATGACAGGGCAACTTGCAGGTAGAGATACAACCGTAGTGTACATTTTCAGTAACTTTCATGTTCATATTTCCCTTAAATTTGCAAACTTTATATATCTTTCCATACAGATACTGATTAGCATAGTAAACCTTGTATTTTATGCCTGTCTTTCTGATTACCTTACAATCAATTTAAAAGATAAAATTAGATCAAGATGAATTGTAGTCAAAATATGTGCTACTCTGCTTTGGAATGTTGCAATCTTTTCTCTCATGATATTCAAAGGCCTTGCATTTGTTTTGAAAAAAATTCTCTAGCATGTGCTACATCAATGTCCGACCATTCTGTGTCAAACATTCACTGCTTTAAAAAATCATTTCTATGTACAATTTAAGATGTCAGAATTTCTTCAAGCAGAATTACTAAACACAATGCTTTCCAAATTTTAAGAACTTGTATTTTAACAAAGGGGGGGGGGGGGGAAGGAAGCATAAAAAGATGGAGTAAGTGATATTAAGAAACATGGTACTTTTTAAATGCAGGGTAGGTTGTATACACAATTTGGGGTTTTAAAATAAAACAAATATGTTGCCATGATGATACACACTTGCATAGTATATCTGTATGCATCTTTAAATCAGTTGCTTGCCGTACAGATTATCTCAATACCACTGGATGGGCTGTGTCTTTACAAAACAAGAGAATAACACTTCAGAATGCATAGAGAAGCCAGAAGATACATTTTAGGTAGATGCTCTCAACAGAACTAATGCAGGCTGCTAATCAGATTCCTGAATGGAATCACTACACATTCCTTTCTCCACATTCTTCAAGTTGGATGCTTTATTTAACAATGGCCCAAGCAATCAGAAGGTAAATATAATTGATGAACTGGTACAGTATCTGTAATTTTCAGTTAAGGATCAGGGAGATATATAAACACGCACCACCACACACACACACATTACATACACACACATATATCCCTGACTCTTTTCTGAATATGCATATACATATACATTATACATGTACATGTACATATACATATATACATATACACCAATCTTGATTTTAATAGTAATTTATGTCCAGCTGTAGCAAATAAACTGAAGATCCAATTTTTTGTACATGATCCTCACTAAACATGAGATCTGTAAGAGCATTAGATGGCATTTTATCTCATAAGATTGAATTTAGCATTGCATGCCAGACTAGTAAGGTAACTAGTTAAAATGCCTTTTAACTCAATCATTATTATAAATACTTAAGCCAGACCAACAGTTCCTCTACAAATTAGGAAGCTTCCAATAGTATTAGCTTGATGTGTTAAAATTGATTGCTTAGCTAATCCACTAGAAACATGAACCCAACTTAGAAAATGCAACTTGGGAAAGGATCTGTAAAAAAAAAAGTCTCTGTCTCACACACACACATACAGACATAAACAGATGTGTGTGCACATGTGCACACCCTCAGTTTCATAAAGATTTTCATGATTAAAACATTCCAAGTTATTGCACGTTATGTTTGATGTGAGTAAGGCAACAAAACCATTTTTAGAAGGAATGGGAAGGTGGTGAACAATGCCACAAATAAAATTTTGTAATGGAAAGTAACATTCAAGCAACCCATTATCCTTCCAAGAAAACAAAACAACCAATTATGAACAAATGCAGCTACAGCAAAGTGCCACAGCATTTATGGTCCTCCCAATAATCTTACCAGAGCTGTTTCAGCACTGTAATAATCATGGATAGGCAGAAGACAAACTTCCACAGTTAATAAGGCTTCACGATAAGCACAATTATTTCTTTTTAAGATGGACTCCACCACCACACACGAAACATGCAAACATTGGATGCAGATATTTGGCAACATCCACAGACAGATGTACTCAGTGCTGGTCTCAAATCCTCCCAGAGCAGTATCACACACACTGCATTAGTCTAAAGAGGATTCTGAAGTTGGCCATTATCTGCTAAGGCTAATAGGCAAACTGTCCCTGTACTTCTTTCTCCTCCAAATATTACGGTTGTGTTGGTGATGACCTCTGTTGCTAACTGGCTGCCTTACAGCTCCATTACTGGCAGAATTGTATCCACTGCCTTGATTATGAGCTCCTTTCACAGTAAATTTCACTCCATTGTGCTGCTGAAAACAAAGAAAATAGTTAATATTACTGCCAACTATTTAATATTATTGCCGATGCTTCATTAATGTTGTCTCATGCAGTCTCTAAATAATGAATTTATACTTATGAAAAAATAATACAGCATTCAGACGTCTACAGTACAACTAAAATTTAAGGAAAGTTACATTCAGAAAAATTAAAACAGTACTAAATTACTTCAAAGAATTCCATGAGAAGAGCCAACCAAAGAAGATATTAGGTATGCTCTTTCTGAATTTTAAAGGATCATTTCTCATCTACTGCACTGCAATTTTTAGGGGAGGAGATAAATGCAGGGGTGGGATTCAATTTTTTTAACAACCGGTTCTGTGGGCATGGCTTAGTTGGTGGGCGTGGCTTGGTGGTCATGTGACTGGATGGGTGTGCTTGGTGGTCATGTAATTGGCTGGGCGTGGCCTACTCAATATCACTCATATCGAGGCACGCATCTCCTCGCCTGGCCTCTCATGACTGTGGGGATGCTGCAATAGTCGTAAGTGTGAAAAATGGTCATAAGTCACTTTTTTCAGTGCCATTGTAACTTTGAATGGTCATTCCACACAAGCAAAGTACCAGCAAAGAAAGGGAAAAAAACTCCAGAGAAGTTCCTGAGACAGGAAGTCTAGTCCTGCCAAGAATGTAATAAGAGTTAATGGAGAGGCAGTTTCTGTAAGCAACACCAGAATGTTTCCTTCCTGCCTTCCTTACAGGATTAGGTCAGTAATTTCTTCTAACAACCAGTTCCCTGAACTGCTTAGAATGTTAACAACCGGTTCTAGCGAATAGGTGCGAACCTGTAGAATCCCACCCCTGGATATATGAGACCAATTTATAAAATATTTCATTTTTCAACCGTTCTGAGTTTGTTTGAAACAATTGTTTTACATTTTAAGTATGAGACATTTCATCATCCATTGTTTTATGAGGAGACATATTACTTTTTATGTTAACATTCATTGCTGTGATTTCATTAATTTATATTTTTTTATTCATAGGCTGACTTACAAGAAACTTACCTGCAAAGACAAGATACAAATAATTGAGAGAGAGTGGCACCCTAACTCTAATCCTCTGTGATCTAAATTACTGGACAACTTACAGCACAACACCCCATTAATCTGAATATTTTAGACATTGTTTTCTGGGTCCAATGACATTATGAAATTATTGATGCTGTATATACTTTTATATATTCATATATTATATATTTATATATACTTTTGCTTTAAAGAGTTAGAATAGATTTATATTATTCAAAGATGAAAACTGAAGAGATTTGCATGCCAAAAACTGAAATGCGTAAGTTTTATCATGTAACTTAATCTAATTATTACCATTAACTTTAATAATGGATTATCAGCGACAGCGACATTATCTTTATTACCGGTTGATGGGGCAAGATCCTATTTCATAACTGAATAACATTATAGAAAGTAATTTTGTACAAAAATAGCTAGTCCTTCAATCAAAATGAGGAATTAAGAATGAATACTTACCTCTGAGTTGTCTACGTTTTCTTGTGAAATAATAATTAATGAAAGAGGTACTTAATTACAAGTGTTAATAAAATAGTAGAAGATTTTATGCTGCTTTATATAAATATATTTCACTGGATTCCATTTATGACAAGAGCTTTTAATTAAAGGTTTAAATAAGGCTAAATGTTTGTGATCAAGAAACTCTCTGGAACTTGAGGCTTAACAACTATCGACCTATTGCAAATGTGCCTTTTTTGGGTATTTGTGAGGATGTTACCTACAGTGTATCAAACCCTTGAAATACATTTTTAATTGGAGCCATTTCACTTTGGTTTTATGCCTAGATCTGGGACAGAATCAGCTTTAATCATCCTGATAGATTGCTTTTTTGGAAAGAGAGATAATGAAAGCTTGTTCTTTTTGGTATCTTAGCATTTTAATAATGGTGATTGTGTAGTCATGTTGAATTTCTTTTGCTAAGTAGGAGTCAGAATCAGTTTTCAGAAAACTACACTGAATGACTGCACCTTGGCCCTGGAAACTAAGTTGTGACATTCCGCAGCATCCCTTCTGTCCTCAATTTTTTTCAACTTTTATAAGCCACCACTGGGAATAATTATTCAAAACTAGAATAAAGTTTTTATCAATATTCATTGAAGTAGGGGTCTGCAGCAGTTTGGATTCAAGCACAAGTTCTTTAAAGAAATGATGTCTTTTTCGAAGACTGATCACTATAATAACTAATAATGGAAGAACTGACCTCAATGGCAAGAAATGCCCTTGCCTACTCTACCTACTCCCAGAGAAGCATAACTTGACCACTGAATTTACACCTTGGTAAACTCAAGTTTGGATTATTACAGTAAATGACAGATAAATATATATTTAAGGTTAGTCACAACTAATTTGTTAAAAAGGTAGCTAGGAATTTAAATAATAGAATCACAGGATTGGAAGAAGCTACTTAAGCAATTTCTTTTTCTTTGTGCATGAATCCAAATTAAAACACTATGGCAAATGAATGTCGGTCCTTGACTTATTTACATATATCCACTGAAGAAGAGTTTACCCCCTCCTTGGTTAACAATATCCAGGCTTTATTGTAGAATTTTTTCCCTAACATCTAAACATCCCCTAACATTTCCTAGTCTTTTTCCTAACACAGCCTTTCTACTGTCTCAGGCATTTCATGGCATACTAATGAGTAAGTCTTCTCTCTTTTTTGTGTGTTATACTAGGTATCCTATTCAGAGATAAAGTCATTTGCAAATCTGTTAAGCCTTCATTCCACCTTTTCATCTAACCTACTGTACAGCGAAATGAGACAACTCACAATCACCTGGTTGCAGGACACCTCGCTCCAGCCAATTTGCCAAGGGGACAACTAACCATAAGCCTGGAGAGGATTTTCCCCCAAGCCTGGACGTAATTGGAAGCTTGCCAGCCTGGATGCGGATAAAAGTCCCCAAGCTCGGACTGGTCTATGTGTCTGTACGCGCATGCAGAACTATGGCTTCTACTTAGCCCGCCTTTCATGGGAGGTGGGGTGTGCTAAAAAGCGAGAAGTCGTCTTTGGAGTAAGAGTGTGAGCTGGCAGGAACTTCCACTTCCCTTAAGCCGGGCCAGCATTGGAAACCAGAGCTTGCACAGGGGTGGGATTCAAATTTCTTAGCAGCCGGTTCTGTAGGTGTGGCCTAATTTGCGGGTGTGGCTTGGTAGTCATGTGACCGGGTAGGCGAGACTTGCTGACTGGGCGTGGCTTGGCAGTCACGTGATCAACTGGGCGTGGCATGGTGGTCACGTGACAGTAGTGTAACAAATTTTAATTTATGTATTTGTTTTTAAGTATCTGTTCTGTTTTTGATTAATAAAAACAAAACCTATACTAAAAAAAATATTAAACATTATTTAAAATATTTTTAATATTTTTTTTAGTATCTTTTCTTTTAATTAATCATAAAAACAGAACAGATACTAAAAACATAAATACATAATTAATTTTTTTTTGTTCCACTACTGTTATTGTTACATGTTGACGCTTATGTTTTTCCTTTGCTTTTTCTTATTAGGAATTTTTTTTTCTCAGATTATTATGTGATAATATGGTTTAGAATATTCCAATATTCTGAATATTTATTTTTTATTCAATTACTAAGAAATCATGTCAGAAAGATGCTTATATGTACATGGCCATCCTTGCACAAGAAAGTACATAAACATTTCTTTAGAAAAAGAGTATCATGTATTAAATGAATAAGTAATACTGTCGTAGTTTGGCAAAATCCAGACCATTGTTTCTTTCAATATTGCTAGTTGAATATTTTTTTCATCAATTTCTGTTTTCTTAGCTTGATCATATTTTTCTGATATCTTAATACTATGGCTTGACAAATCTAACACTTTTGGAGAAATTTTCACTTCTTACCAGCAATCTGGTTTTTGCTGCCAAAGCTGGTTTTCTGGCAGTGCTGCTCCTTGGATTTGAATGGGAGCACTAAGGAATGACCCATGAGTTTTGGATGGTCAGAGACCTATTTGGGGAGTCTTGAAGATTCCAGTTCCCTCTGGAAGCAATCGGAAAATCATTGGGGGGGATCCATCTTCCTGTCAGCAGTTTCATTTGCCTGAGTTTTTAACATTCACATTTTGAATTTATTGTTTTACATTGTTTTTTGCTCTTAAAAATTGACAGTGGACCAGCAGATGCTGATTTATTTCAAGCCTTTGCTGTACTCTTTTTTCCCTTTTCTTTCTTATTAATTTATGTTGCTCTGAATACTCTTTTTGTTCTTTGTATATTTGCCTTCATTTGTAACCTTTCTTCTCTCTGTATTTCTGTATCGTAAAGCACTTTCATTTGATTTACATTAATATTGGACTCTCACCACAGGATTTTGGTACTTTTTGAATTTACAAAATTTTTTGAATATTTGCAGTTTATCTCTCTTTTAAATTTTTCTTTTAACCTTGCATTGAAATATTCAGATAATATCATTCTTGTTTCCTTCTGCTTCAGTGTTTTTTGTTCCCTGATCAAGTTACACAGAGTAGCAATGTATCAAGATGGCATTAAGTAACAAATACGGATATTTGTTTTTAGGATGAATTAGTTTAACTTTTGGGACAATTTGGGATAGATAGGATGCTGTGACAAACTTTCGATGTGTGGATTACAATAACAGTTTAACAGTTTTGAAACCTTATCCTTGTCTTTATTATTATTGTTATTGAAGGTTAACTCTTTTGTCATTAATATAGTATATAGGACAGGTCAATAATTTGCAGATAGATTTACTAGCTTAAAATTTGGGGGACAGCCTGTTTCATATTGGGAACCAATATTGTAGTAATGTATATCAGTATTCAATGATGGGAATAACGCGTTGATTTTTTTTCCTTTTTGATGCACTTTTTTTAGTGTCTTAATTGTTTTGTTCTTTTGTTTTTTGTCTTTTAAAAAAATTCTTGGAGTTTTGTATTTTAACTTTCTTTTGAATAAAATAGAATAAAATAAAATAAAATCAGATAGGAATCTTGAAATTTCCAGTACGGTTAGTTATCCTAGCTATCAAGATTTTTGAGGTTTGCTATACTGATTTAAAATTACTTTTCTTGGAATTGTTCATTTTCATCTATTTCAATCATTCTACAAATTGCTCTCTTTGTATCTAATTCAGTAGTTTTTTTTCTCTTCGGTAATGTACTTGTTTATTATTTTCAAAATGCGTGAGAAAATTAAACAGAGAAGGTTTCACATACCTGATTATTCGTGGCCATAATCAATGCTCTTGCAGGCACAGACTGATTTTTACCACTTGGCATAGTTAATGCCGGATGTATTCCAGCCGTAAGTGGAGATGGTGCTTGCAGGCTGAAGTGGTATATATTAGGAGTTGTGCAAGGTGGAGTATCAGAATCCTTCATGTTACATAAAAGGAGAAAATATGGGATTTTATTTTATATATAAAGAACCTGTGTTGACACATTTAAAGCAGGATGATTTTGCACTGAACATGTTACAGAAATAATCTCTCTGGAGGAGAAAAAATATTTTGCAAAAATAACTGTTTCTGACCTTCCATTACTAGACTGGAAAAACAAGTTAAATAAGTGCAGTTCCTAACACTAGCCAGTAGCTATTCTCCTCATTAGGCAAAACTACAACTGATTTTTCATATCAAGACTGAGCTAGTGAGACAATTTTTTTTATCGCATGTGCTACTTGCTACATTTCAATCAGCAGTCATGATATTCATTTGTGGAGAAGGCACAATTTATCCAGGCTTCTTTGTTTTCTGTGGTATCTACCTGTCTTTAAGGACCCACTATGGAATTGTTTCCACACATGTAAATGTTTTTAAAAACTAAAAAATATTTTAGAGTAAAATTGTAAACATGTAATAATTGTATTTGCGATCTTATAAAATAGCTTGTAATCGTATTCAGATATTAACTTTCACATGTATGTAGACAGCAGCTTAAATAGCAAAATGATAAAACTTACAACATCACTTCCAGAAAGAGATGACACTGAAGAGGCAGATGAACCTGATGATAATTGTTGCATATCAGTAAATGACAAAGTCAAAGGTTGGTTGTAAAGCAATTCGGCATCTCTATTCTGGGTTGCACTCTCTGAAGATATTGATTCTCTGTCTTTCAGCTGACCATCTGGTGGTACATATGTTTATATGTCAATACATTTCCTTTTCACTTAAAATAAGTATAGCCGTGTTTTGAGTATTGTTAGTTTTACTGAATAAAACGTTGCTGATTAAGTCAGATAGTATATCAAAGATGTTTAAGCCTGAAGTAACATGCAAATGAACTACAGTATGCATTTTATTATTTCAACAAATTAAAATCAGGAATCAAATATTCTGCCAGGCATGGATTCACATGTTCATACCAACAAATGGTAACAAAGTACTGGGGGAAGTGTTGAAGTACGCTGAATACTGAAACATGGGATAAGAAAATAAAAAACAGAAAAATATGATAAAAATAATATCTCATTTAGTTTTTAGTATCAATATATTTACTTGCCAAGATCAGATGAAAAGTTAGCTTTGTTTCCCCAATTTTTTTTAATCCATGCTCTGTAGTCAATCACTTCTTCGGTCACTTTAATAATTCTACCTAAAGTACTAGAAGAGATGTTGATTAAGATAAGAAATCAAGCCGCAACAGTGAAACACTGTTTTTTTTTTTTTAAATCTAAACTTCATTATAGATAACATAAGAGCAAAAAAACTTTTAAAAAGATTTGCACACAGTCAATGTCAATTTCAGGTTTTTAAACTGATATTAGCTCTTCTTTCCAGGGTGCTGTATTACAAGAGGATAAGTATTATGCAGCCCCAAAATTAAATATATATTATACTTCCTGTACGTGCCATGATGAGTGAATTCCTTGCTGACTTTTGTTAGCTAGCAAGACAGCTTTGCAAGAGGAATTGCTACTTAATGCTGGATTCCAGTCAGGTAATCTTTCCAGAACAAGAGAGTGATCAATGACATTATCCACATGACCCCACACAGCAGCTCCTCATGAGTAGACCATGGAGACCATCATTGTTATAGTTGGCTTATGAGTAGAATGGCTGTGAGTTGGAATTTACATCAAGTTCAAACTTGCAAAACAGTCTTTATGGACACATTTCTTGGTCGACCCTTATATCTCAATCACATATAATTTTGGGATTATTTTATTATTTGCATATTGGAGAGATCAAGACCTCTTGGATTGGGAAGATACTACTGCATTCATCAGGTGAGTTTCCCTTTCCTTAAAAAGTGTAAATTTGATTTTCAAGGTCCAAAAAATATAAGATTTGTGGTACTATGCAGCAAAAGGGTGCTTAGTTAATGTATTTTGTGAAGTTAATAATTATTAATGGACCAGAGGAATTTGGAAATACAGTTCTGAACTATTTAGAAGATACTTGCTCATGGAAAAATGGAGATTGTTTTGGAGTGGGGTTTCTTAGACGGGATAAAGAAAATGGAGCAGAAAATCCTTAGTGCAATTCAGCTAAAATTTGGGACAGAATGGATCAGAAGCTTAATAAAATTGATACAGTGAATTTATAAAAGAACAAACAAACTGCAGTGGATGTTTATGAAACTAATTTGAAGGGGGACAAATGTAAATTCAATTGGGATCTGATGAATACTTACTGGAGATAAATATATATTAAATCAGGAAAATGATTTGGATAATTTTTTTCTGTGCATATACAGAAGAGCTTAAGTGTGACTTGAAAGGACTTTTTTTAGAAGTGACAAGCAAAAGGATTAATTTTATTTATGGGTACAAAAGAAATCTTGTTCAAGTTTTAAAATATTTTTGCTTTGAAACACAAATGAGCAGCAAACTATCTCCACAGCTTTTTTTTTGAAGGGGATCAAAAATATTTTTAAAAAATAAGGAAAGATTTATAAGATTGGCTTGTTTGACCAGTTTTTAAAAAAGAAAATAGTTAATATCTATTTGTTCTTATTGGAATATTGCCGATAAGATTTATTAATATAGATTATGATTTTGTTTTCTTTACATAAGAGATGAACTATGGAGAGAAGACAGATTATGTTTTATTTAGAGACAGGACAGCCATTAAAATTGTTTTTCTTCCCTCTTTTGCTTTTTTCTTTTTCAACCCCTTTATTTTATTTTTTCTGCAGCTTGCATTAACTTTTATTCTTTACCCATATAATTCTTAATAAAATTATCTGAAAAAATGGAATGTATTCTTCTTTGCAACATTCAAAGTTCCTCCCCTGACCATACTTATAAATTCTGGAAGTGCAATGTAAAGTTTAAGTTCCCATGCATTTCCAGTTTAACTTTATATTTTGAAACTTAAATGTATATTCTTCAAAAACCTCTGGACTCCTGCTGGATTGCCACTTTTTAAACTTCAGCACCTGGTATGCCTCTCAAAGCCCACATGCAGCCCTGGCTTTTAGAAGGCTATATACCTCAACCTATACAATGAACACATTCTCAAATAGTTACCTTTCTGAATCTCTATTCGGATATGATTTTGCAAGTGGTGATACTGCATGGCTTAGAACAATGTAGGCATAGTCAAAAACCTGCTTTACTTGCATGGCACCATAACAACTTCTTCCAACATCATTGCCTGTAATAGCAAAAAATTTAAAAAATCACACTTATTATACAGTTGATGCCAAGTTGCTTTTACCTTGTAATGCTTACAATGTTTAAAACTCTTGGAATAGGTAAAATGTCTCAAGGAGAGATATACACTCTATAGACTTGCATATGTACAAATTGGTGCCTAATCTTCCCAGTTAATCTATTATTTGACATACAGAACTGATACTCCTTTAAAATTAACAGTATGCTCCATCCCAGTTTTCTATCTACCATTCTTAAAATTTAAAGAACTCCAACCATATCACTTTTATTGTGCACTGGATTTGGAGGTCAATATTAAGCAGTTTATATTTGTACAGTACCAGCTATTTTTATTGATATGTATTAATGTCATTCTGATATAAATCTGGCTACTTGTTTATTCAGTGTTTACCAACTAGGAAGTCTTCCCATACCAAGAAAGCTATCTTCAAGACTCCAATCCACAGATTCCTATTACAACTACTTCTATAACAGCTACTTCTTTGTTATTAGATCATTTATATTTTACTCATTCTTTGGCCTATGTATAGTAAAGAGTTGTTATCATAACTAAAATGTGATTATATAGCTTATCTGGTAATTTTGTGGAATTACACCATAAACAACCAAATCTAAACTACTTAAACAAGACCACACAAGCAAAAAATAGCACTCAGTCATGTTCAAGTCCTACTAGCCTGCCTTATTTGATACATTAAAAAAAAGATGGCTCTCAGAGGCCAGTTTAGGGCTAGATAATCTGGTATCTCCAAGTCTTACTGTTTTCAACTTCCACAATACTCTGCTATAGCAAGGCTAATAGGGTGATACATCTAAATTATGTGGAGGGAAAACCAGGTTGCATAATCTTGTTAACTAGATTAGTATTCCTAATTCACCTCAGCATTGAGAATACACACTGAATCCTAAACATAACAATTCTCTAAAATTATTAAATTATCCCAGGCAAATCTGAGATATTTGTTATTTGTTCTACAAAGATCTATCCAAACTTTAACAGGATGAATGTTTTTGTTTTCTGTGTATAATTCTAAAGAAATATTTCAGTACTCCTTTGTATCAATTTAAAATCAGGTACAAGTTTGCATATTAAGCTCCTTTTCTTATTGGAGTGAATAAATTAGCCCAGAGTAGAAATACCAAATTTTAACTCTATTCTTACATTAACCCCCTTATTCTTGGGTTATGTTTTCTGGCTTCCAGCATTTGGTACATCCAATACTGTGGGTTGAATACAAGAAGTCTTTGACTTACAAACATACTGGAGTCTACCCATTATGGTCATAAATTGTAAAGTGGATCACCATGTGACCAATCTGATTTTGTGACCTTTTTTGTAGCTGTTAAGTGGATATGGCAGTCGTTAAATGAACCCATCATTCATTATGGGATTTTTTTTTGCCCCATACTAAAAGTAAACATTGTTTTTTGGCAAAAATGTCATAAATGCCACTCATGGGATCATGGGATGTGCCAAACAGCAAGTCAGTTGCCAAGAGCTTGACGGTGTGTGACTGTAGGGGGAGAGGCCAGCCACCAGAACTTTGGAACCAGGTCACAAGTACCATTTGGAGGTCAGTTGTAACTTTGAACGGTCACTAAGCAACTGGTGGTAAGTTGAGGACTACCATCAACCCGTTCCTTCAATCAACCCGTTCCTCCAATCAACCCGTTCCTTGCAGACTCCTAATACTACCTCATTACCTCAAAACTTACAACTTTTCTACCTCATCACCTATATCAACGATTAGATAATCAATTTCTATAAAATATTTTATTAATTGTTTTATTAATTTATTGTTTTTAATTGATTAGTGTGATTAGAGTGTTTAGTGCAAACAGTGTGATTACTGACTAGATTAAAATATCAAAATTCATGTAATTTAATTGAATAGCAAAATCATTGATTTAGTGAATTTAAATGAACAGTGTGATTAATAATTAGTGTAATTAATTGATTAGTGATTAGAGTAATTAATTGATCAGGCTGATTGTTGCTCAGGAATATTATCTGACTTGAGAGATTACTACAATTGATTGTTTGATATTGTTTGATGTAATATTGGCTATATAGATTACCCAAAACTGTTCCTTTAATTAATTCAATCAACGTACTATTTTACCAATCCTACCATGCCAAAAAGTAAATCCTACGTCAAACCACAACCTAAAGAGAAGATAATCCCCACCAATCAACCACAAGACTCCTGCACATGCCTTAAATGCTACAAAAGTCTAAAGGATAATAAATACTCCATCATATGTTCTCTGTGTAAAAAATACACTCATCATGACTGCTTGGGATTACCTGAGCAAATGATTAAATACCTAGAATCATCCAATGAGTATCCATATTTCTGCAAATCATGCATACCCAAACTGGATCTGTCTGAAAGAGATGATACCATCGAAACCATTGAAACATCCCCAATCATCGAAACCATTAAAACATCCCTCAACACCATAGTAGCATCCCTGGACGCCGTAAAAGAAAGAATAACCAACCTTGAAAAAAAAGACACAACGCAAAAACCAGAACATCAAATAGCTACAAACCACATCTCCACCCATCAACCACAATCCAATCCAAAACCCAATCCACAAATAAACACAACCCAGACAAATATTGATATCCCAATCCTCATCAGAGAAGCTGTTGAGCGTGAACGGAAACGTCCAAACGCCATCTTATTTGGACTAGAACAGGGGTCCCCAACCACCGGTCCGTGGACCGGTACCGGGCCGCGGAACAACTCCTACCGGGCCGCTGGCTTGCTGGGCGCCGCCATCTTTTTTTCATGAAAAAGTGCTTCCGGTGAGCTTTTCCGGGTAGAAAGCTCACCGGAAGCACTTTTTCGTCAAAAAAAGATGGCGGCGCCCAGCTGATGCCGGTACCGGGCCGCGGCGCCCAGCTGATGCTGGTACCGGGCCGCGGCGTCAAAAAGGTTGGGGATCACTGGACTAGAAGACATCAATGTCAATGATGACATCACAACTGTCCGAAACATCATCAGAGATTATCAAGCATCAACCATCTCCGCTGATGAAATACTTGACATTTCCCGCATAGACCGAGAGCTCAAAAATAGAGACGGCTCTGTGGCCCCACACTTGTGCAGGGTCATTTGCAAAAACGAATCAAGCAAACGTAAATTCATTTATACTATAAACTCACTCGCCAAAACCAACACCAACCACAAGAACCTCCGTTGCCGCCCTGACCTAACCATACAGCAACGTGCCCGCTCCCGTGTACTCCGCATCGAACTCAAAAACCGTCTAGACAATGGAGAGAAGGACCTGTACATTGACTACCATGCTGACTGTATCAAAAGTAAGCCACGCAACCCAATTCTCAACTTTTACCCTCAACCACAACCCTACCTCAACCCATCCACCATCACCCAAGACTAGGCACGCGCGCCCCCAACTACCTCAATTCTAACTACTGCCGGACTTAAATGCAAACTACTCAATACAAGAAGCCTCGTGAATAAAATACCTGAATTTCTCATCCTCCTTAATACGGCTAACTTTGACATTATATTTGTCTGTGAAACATGGCTCAATGCATCTCTCCCCGACTCCATTACCACAGTAAGAGACTATCATGTTTACCGATCAGATCGTGAAAATCGTCGAGGAGGTGGTGTTGCTATATTCTATAAAAAATCCTTACATCTAAAAAATATCCAAGTTACTCAGGAGCTTGCCCTTCCTGAAACCATCATCTGTGAACTATCCTTAAATATCACAAGTCGATTCTTACTATGTTACAGAGCACCTGATTATGACATCGAACATGTAAACAAGCTAAATACATTACTAACATGGGCTACATCCTGCCCATACCCTTTTATCTTTCTTGGAGATTTCAATCTACCTCATATCGACTGGACCCTAAATAATTGTACAACTGAAATCATACACACAACCTTCTACAATGCTATTACAAATCTGGGACTGGAACAACTAGTAACCAACAACACTAGACTAAACAACTGCCTCGATCTCATCTTCTGCAATAGTTTGAATTTAATTTACGGAATACAAACTAAAGAACCCTTTTCCAGCAGTGACCACAATATGATTGACTTTTGTCTCAACATACGTCCACACAAAAATCACCTCAATGATGTAATCCCCAATTATAACTTCAAAAAAGGCAACTATGATCTTATAGACAACGACCTCTCATCCCTTGATTGGCAATCTCTATTCTCTGGATGCAATACCGTTGAAGACCATTACAACATATTCTTACTTGAAATCAAAAGAGTCATCATACTATATGTTCCAACAACAACTCCCAAAACAAAACAAAAAAGAAGATTACCCATATCAATAAGGAAACTTCAATCCAAAAAGAGATCACTCTGGCGGAAAAACAAATCTGGTCACGTTGCCAATTTCAAAAACCGATACAAAAACTTATGCCACCAGATAAAGACCGAATGCACCAATTATCACATTAAACAAGAAGAAAACCTTCTAAGCACCAATTCCACCCGTGCTTTTTACAATTTTGTAAACAACAAACTAAAAGACTCAAGGTCCATCCCTCCCTTGATAGGACCTGATGGTAAAGACTGCAACGACGACACCATTAAAGCCAACATCTTTAACACATTCTTCGGCTCAGTATTTGTAAACAGCAATGGATCTTGCCCAGTATTTCCTAACCGTACCACAGATAACAACAATGACCTAATACATATCGATTTCACAGAAGACAATGTTGAAAAATCACTACGCAATCTAAAACCATCCCTATCTATTGGACCGGATGAAATATGTGCCTACTTCTTAAGAAAGCTATCCACTGCCATAGCCAAACCTCTAAGCATAATCTTTGAAAAATCTTTCAGGACCAGCTCCTTGCCTAACCTATGGTCACAAGCCACAGTCATCCCCATCTTCAAAAAGGGAGACCCAAGCCTAGTTGAAAATTACAGACCAATCTCCTTATGCTGCGTCACCTGCAAAGTCATGGAATCAATTATTAACCAATCCATCATCCTCCACTTAGAGACAAACAACCTACTCTCCAATAAACAATTTGGTTTCAGAAAAAAACTATCCTGTAATCTGCAACTCTTACACTGCAAAAACATATGGACGACACAACTCGACCAGGGCAAAGCAATAGACGCAATCTACATAGACTTCTGTAAAGCCTTTGATTCAGTGGTACACGACAAACTACTCCTAAAAATAAAATCCTATGGTATATCTGGACAACTGAATAACTGGATAGAAGCATTCCTATCAAACAGACAACAAATGGTCAAAATCGGGAGAGTCCTATCAAATCCAGTACCTGTCAATAGTGGTGTCCCTCAGGGCAGTGTTCTAGGACCAACTCTCTTCATACTCTACATAAACGACCTCTGTGATCATATTAAGAGCAATTGCGTTCTCTTCGCTGATGATGTAAAGCTGTTCAATACCACAGACAATACTGCTACCCTACAAAAAGATCTTGACTATGTATCCGAATAGTCAAACAAATGGCAACTTCAAATCTCAACAAATAAATGCTCTGTCTTACATATTGGCAAAAAAAATCAGAAAATAAAATACAAGCTGAATAGTCAAGACCTTGTTGATGACCCAAGCTCTGTAAAGGACCTTGGAATACTCACCTCTAATGATCTGAGTGCTAGAGCCCACTGCAACTACATAGCCAAAAAGGCATTAAGAGTTGTAAACCTAATCCTACGTAGCTTTTTCTCTGGCAATATCACACTACTAACCAGAGCATACAAAACATTTGCTAGACCAATACTCGAATACAGTTCATCAGTCTGGAACCCTCATTACGTATCTGATATTAGCACAATTGAGAAAGTCCAGAAATATTTCACAAGAAGAGTTCTCCACTCCTCTACTCGTTGTAGAATACCTTATGCCACCAGACTTGAAATTCTAGAACTAGAAAACCTTGAATTACGAGAGTTTCCGGTTTGTCGGCTTCGCGAGCGGTAGGGATTCGTGAAGCTGCGCGATCCCTGCCGCGCTAGCCGTTTTGGGGCTCCGATCCGGACGGGTGCGGAGCAAGGCTGCCCTGCAGGGGTAGCTGAAGGTAAGGGGGATCCAGAGGAAGGGTCTGGGGGTGTTGCAGACCCCCTCCCTGGCCGGCAGAACCCCCTTTTACCAGGACGGTGCAGCGGCGGTCTGTAATGGCCGCCACAAAGAAGTCGGCAGCCGGGCAAGTATGCGCAGGAGGAAGAAGAGAAAGTTATTGAAAGTGAAAGTTCTTCTTGGTCGACCCAGGGCTTTGAGATTTATCTAATTTAATTCCTGGAAAAGATGGTTTTTTGATGATTTTTTCCACAAGAGAAAAAAAGCGGCAATTTTGAGGTGCTGGAAGGAAAGTTTACTCTCCCTCCCGACGGAATTAAGCCGGAAGGGAGAGGATAAAGAAAATATATAAATCTGGATCTTGTTGGAGGAGATGCCTTGAAGATTTGAGGACAGAAACATAATTTTAATAAGGCTTTAAAATACAGATTTGGACTCTCTTTTTATTTGTTTGATACCACCCCTGGAAGAGGAAGGGGGAATTTTGGCTTGCTTGGATTTATTGAGGATTGTGGATTTTGGGATTGTTTTACCTTTCTCTCGGAATATTTGGTTGGTGTAAGAAGAAAGAGGAATAAAGAAAAGAAAAGATTTATTTATAATGGCTTTCCCTTTTGAAGACCTGAGGGATGAATATGAGCAAACAGAAGCGGCCTGCGGGGATGGTATGGAAAAAGCTTTTCTATTTCTAGAAATGGCGCTGGTCAATTACCAACAGACAATGAAACAGATGGAAACAGAAGAACAACAACAAGGAAAAGACGAAGACGCCATCTTTATTGAATCCCAAGACTTATCTAAGGAAGAAGGAAGGAAGAGAGCAAGGAAAATGAAGGACTTAAGATCTAGGGAAGCATTTGAGAAAGAGAGAAATGTGATGCAGGGTAAATATAATGATAGCAAACAAGAGAAAAAGGGAACACAACAGAGAAGGGATCCCAGCAAGGCAGAGGTTAGAAGAAGAAGGGGGGGTAGGAAGATTTGGTGGGGGAAGAAAGAAAGGGGAAAGGCGGAGAAAAGCCTCAAAGTTTTAAAATTGGATGGGAGAAGAGGAATTTTTTTTAGGGACAAAGGATGAAATATAAACTTCTGTAAGAAAGATTCTGCTAGGTACAGAAGATGGTATTGTAACATTTATATTTGAAATGGTAAATTAGAATGGTTTAAGATTTAATAAGAAATTAAAATGTTGAAGTCTTTAATAATGATTGATTTTTAAAATGTAATAAAATATTGAAGGAAAGGAGGATACAATGTATTTAAACATTTTTGGTGGATAGAATGTACCAAGCAGAACCGAATTGGGTATTTGTTATGTTGAATGTTAATTTTACTAACTTAGGGGGAGGATAGAAAGGCATCATACTCTGATTAGTGATTTCAGGAGAAATTATTTTTATTATAAGAAGAGATAGAGGGAAAATGAATGGGCAAAAGATATAAATATAATGATTTAATTAAGATGGATTAAATAAGATAGAATTGTGAAGAGTGATATGCGCTGCCCATGCAAAGAGAGGTAACTGGGGCCAAGGTACTTTACTAAAAGATTTTTTTATGTTTATTTGTGTTTGTTTGTGTTTTATGAGAATATTGGGGAAATTTCTGTAGAAAGACAGGAAAAGATTTAAATATGTAATGATTTGTTTGTTGTTGAAATTTTTAATAAAACTTGTTTTTTTTTTTTTAAAAAAAGAAAACCTTGAATTACGCCGTCTTCGGTCTGATTTAAGCATGGTATATAAAATCATACATTGCAATGTCCTACCTGTCAATGAATACTTCAGCTTCAACCATAACAACACAAGAGCACACAATAGATACAAACTCAAAGTAAACCGCACCAAACTTGATTGCAGGAAATATGACTTCAGCAATAGAGTAGTCAATGTCTGGAATACTCTACCCGACTCTGTAGTCTCTTCCCCAAACCCCAAAAACTTTAACCTTAGACTGTCTACCATTGACCTCACCCCTTTCCTAAGAGGTCTGTAGGGGGCGTGCATAAGCGCACCAACGTGCCTACCGTCCCTGTCCTATTGTTTCTCTATTCTTTTATTTTTCTTATATGTACCCATCTCATGTATTCACAACTATGTATACACTTATACTTATTATCTTGTAAACAATTGACAAATCAAATAAATAAATAAATAAATAAATTATATCACTAATTGACAAACCAAAGGGAAACAAAGTTATTATCTTTGTCATACTGTTTCCCACTTCAGACTAAATACATGGAAAACATGAGATTTGTAATCCCAGAAAAGTGTTTGTGATATTTTCGTATTATGGATACTAACTAGTACAACACAACACATGCAAATACACCACTGCTGTTTAACAATCAAGTTCAGTTCCAATGACCAAGTTGTTAAATTAAATGGCTGCTAAATGATTACATGACTGAAAGTTACTGTGAAGATCATTGACTGCTGCAATATGCCTTGTTATTAGACATACAATATTTAGTTGTATAAGCACACTGGAAAAATTGAGTCCAGTAAATATTCCACGGCTTTGTTCTTGTGAATGATAATGCCTTCAGCCCCCCCCCCCCCCCCCCCAAAAAAAACTTACGCTATATATGTAATAAACAAATATTGCATACCAAGATCTAAGACTATTCTTTTAAACATTTCTCTCAAAGTTTCTGGGTTAAAAATTGAGAGTGACATGTGTCATCTTACCAGGCAGTAGGGGATCTTCAATGCATAACATGGATGGTCGATATCCATTAGTCATGGTTTTCATGATTTCTTCTTTGGCAATATAGGCACCTCCATTTTTTATTCTAATACCAGTTTTTAAGTAATTAAAATTCCTTCCATAGAGTTCAAAAAATTCTATTAGAAGCATTCCTAGATTTTCATCAAATCTTCGAGCATCAATTCTTGGGTGCAACTATTAAAAATGAAAATCACAGGATTTTATTTTCTTGCACAGCAAGTGGCATTTATATATTATCAGCTAAAGTAATTCTTCCTTTTTAAAAAAAACTTATTTTTTTTATTTTTACATTTCAAGATGATAGTATTTGCCAGTATTCAGAAAGTACAAAATGTCTTTATATGACTTTCTTACAAAATTTATGTTTTACTACATAAATACGATTCTGTCACATCTCATTCCCACATTTTAAAGGATAAGGATCTTCTAAACCTAGATAAAGATGGGACAAATGTATGCTATGTCTGGTATTATGAAAGATCTGAACATACCTGTAAGAAGCTAATTGCCATTAAAATTAAGCTGTAGGAACTAATTCCACCAGTAAAAACTTCATTCAAATCCCTCTGAAGAAGGAACTGTTTTAATACTAAAATCAAGTAAGGCAGCAATGAATATTTCTGCAAATGAAAAAAACAGTCAGTTCTAAAAGGAAACATTTTTGCTTATGAGTGAATACGAAAGCTCTCACACCAAAATAATATTCCATATACAACAATAACAAGTAGAAAAGTGAAATACAGCAAATGTTTATTATCTACATGTTTATTCCTTAAAATAGGTAATGGTTTCACTCATTAATATTTAATAAATAATAGGAAAAAGACAAGGCAATTGCTACAAACATGACACGTCATTATATGGTACATTAAAAAATGAATAAGCACAAGATAAAAATCAAGGGAACTCTGTGAATATAATGTATGTTCTTAATCTTTACCAGATTACTAAATACTAATTATTTAAAAGCAAACATACACTCATGCATGTACACTCTGTGTAGACACAGAAAATTTAATTCTGTTTATTCTATCAGGAGGAGCTTGCTTTCAAACTTATGAACTAAGGTAACTTCTTAAAACCCAAGCAGAAGAAAAAAGGTAATACACTACAGTTAAGCAGATGTGGCTTGCAAAGTAATTTATGACTGAATAACTATTTTTGTAAGAAAAATTAAGCAAATAATTTATTGTCCATTAATACACAAATATAAACTAATGCACATTTCTTTGAATACAGAGTTCTTAGGTTTACAAGTAGTCCTTGCTTACCAACTGCTTCATTTAGTGACTGTTCAAAGTTTTGATAGCATAAAAAGAAACCTCTGAAACAAATCTTTGCATTTACCGCTGCCACAGTATCCCACGGTCATGTAATTGTCACTTGTGTGCTTTGCAACAGATGCACATTTGCATAAGCGTTGCAGTATCCCAGTCACATGATCACCATTCACCTGCTTCACAACTGGTTTGCGACAAGCAGAGCTAATAAAGAAGGCAGAACTTGCTTAACAACTATGGTGCTTTATTTAATGACCAAAGGGGGAAGTCAGTCTGTAAATCCTTCATAGTCACATGATTTGCTGCTTAGCAACTCTAGTGGTCAGCAAGAGAGTTGCCAGTTCCAGTTATGATCTAGCAAGGATCATAGCAAGGATTACTTGTATTAGGCTTCAATGGCAGGGGCAAAAATTGTGAGTTACAACATCTAGTAAATATATTGACAACCCAGAATCTTGCATGTAGACCTAGATTCTTTGTTACAGCAAAATATCCTGTTAAATGTAACTAGTCTCTAGTCTATCACTAGGCTTGCTCACTAGAAGACCAAATCTGAGCAAGACTAAAGTCACAAGAATTTGTCTGGATTCCAGAAGATTATAAACAAGTAGAAATACTTTTGTATAAAACTCAGTTTGACTAATTCTGGTGAAGTCTTTTCATCAATTACCAATCTACAATCCTAGAAAATATCTGAATTTACTTTGCTTTCCAATCTGGTTTGTTTCTCACGAATCAAGGACCAGAGCATGAGCATCCAAAGAATCAACAAGGGATGCAAGCTCTTGTAGGCAAAATATCAGAGATTTTATATGAACAATCTCAAGAGAAATTTACCATAAATTCTGTTACTTTTGTCATTATGTTGATACTTTACCGAAGATGTACAGACTTTGGAAAAAAGTATCCTTTTTAGAGGTCCGATCATGTGTATTTATTTTGGCAGCTTAAAATTGGATGCAATAGGCCTGACAGAAAGCAAAGGAATCTAGAAAAACTGTACAATGCTTATATAATTTTTCAAGATTCTATATATTTTTGGCGCTACAGATTTAGGGTTTAAAATGTGGATCCTAAGACTTCAGCCAAAGAAAATATTAAAATCCCCATACTGTCTAAAGGAAGTCTAAAATATTTGATTAAAATTACTTTTTATATCTGATCTGAACATTTTTCTTTCAAATATATAGCTAAAAATTCTTGAAAGATTATGAGGAGATGTGGGGAAGTATATCAGAGTTTTTGAATATATTTTCTATTCCAGACAGCACTTAACATAAGCCCACAATCAGTTAACTTTGCTTTTTTTTTCTTCAAATTTCAGTTCTAAAAGCAGATGTATCAAGGTATATGATTTTTTTTTGTTCTGCTTACTCTACCTTCATGTAGTCTTTGATAAGTCGAGCTGCCTTCACACCAGTTTCTACATTAAAACTAATATCAACTTTCACCTCTGTAGCCTGGTCTGTAAGTTTAATTATTGGTACCTGCAAAAGTAGTAAAATCAACCATTCAGATGACATTTACAGAGAGTAATCAATGTTTCAAATCATTTAAAATATCCAGTTCATCTAGACAGCACATTTAACATTTGTTAGCACACCACTAATATAAGTATAAATCTATTTCAACCTTTTAAATCACTACTTAAGTATAAGATAGGCATGTAGGGAATGATTGTTCTTTTTATGTTTTATAATAAATGCAATAAAACTTATTTCTGCACATCTGCACTCCTTTCTAGAAAAACCCTTCCACAATCATTTACATGAACTATTTTCTAATATAATATGCTTGGGCACAGTGTGTTAGAAAGTATTTTATTTCTATTTAATTCTAATGTTCTAATCAGATCTAATTTTGAAGAGCATGTGATTCAATTGCAGTTTCATTTGCACAGATTTCTAGACCATTTCTGAACCATAAAAATGATTGTTTCTTTAAAAGCCAAAACATTTAGAACTTAATAATTAAAAGAAGAATTTCTTTCTGCACAATCCTATTGTTATTCATTTCCTGATAAAACAGTCTAATTCAGCATCCTACTATCACCGAGATGTAATAGGTAAGAAGATACGGAAGAACTTGTCTTTTGTGGCAGCCATGATTCAAGCCCTCCTGGATTATTTTCTTCCAGTAAATGCAAAGTGTATTCATCTTAAGTTTATTCTTTAGCCTTGATGCAAACATTAGATTATTAACTCTCTGCTGAATTGATTACTAACCCATCTTGAATACTATGTTCTGAATTAGAAAGCTGGGATATAGTTGGGTGGATTGCAAAATGTATTTTGATTCTAATACTGGGAGAGAAAGAGGAGACAAAGACATTGAGGGTTTATCACATTCCCATATTGAAATTCCTGTTTTTCTTTAATATCTTTTTGGTCTTTGTCTCCAGTATACTAATAGGAGCAAGAGAACCACCTGCTTACAACAGCAGATCTAAAAAGGTTTCTTAAAATAAAACCAGAGATTTGGTATCTTAGGCATGGAATGTTCATGGATCTATTCACATCAATGGCAAACATTTCCAAGTGCACTTAAGTTTACGTTGTTAAACTCTATCTCATTTACAGCAATGTGCTAGTCTAAAAACAGCATGTGTATCTGTTTACGTAGAATTCAAATAGCATACTAAGACTCTGAACATTACTGATAATATTGGATATTTAAACCAAAAGGGAAATATCCCTTTTGCTCCTTTACTTGGAAAGTAAATGACACAGCAATAAAGGAAGAATAGATATTTTAAAAGAGAAGCAGACACAAACTAGAGATTTTAATAGTTTCTACCTATACAAAACAAGTTATGACTCACAAGCTAAAGACAGCTTAGCTTAACATATGCCAAGAGAAATTTTCAAATGTCAGCACCAGCAAAGCTGGTCACATCATCTGTCACTGATGTTACTAGGACTTTAATTCAGGTTTAAAAGGACAAATACAGAAAAACAATAGTGTGTGAAATGTATTTCAAACAGAAGATTTATATACATACACATACATGATTGTTGAGTAAGTATTAAGAATAACTCATAATGCAATCTTTATTGATTTAAATCAAGTTATTAAATTGATTTAAGTAATCAATATATTATCAAAAATAGAATTTTCTAGGCATTCTTTGTCATGCCAGATGCTGAAATAATTTGAAACAAGCAATATGAGTTAATTTAGAGCTAATGCCAACTAATAAGGAAGGCAGGAAAACTGACAGCAATTGGGAAGAATATTTTCACAAACAAAACCTGTTACTAAATTGCAGTTGGGGAAACTCAGAAAAACATAAATAAGCAAACAATGAACCCAAAGTACAGGTAGTATTCAATCATAATGGAGCTTGTCTATTACTATCATAAGTTGTGGCAGTCATTAATCAAGGCGCCCTCATGATTGTCTGATTTAATGACTACAATTCCTGCTCTCCCTGTTGCAATTGTTAATCGTACATGCAGGTTATTAAGCAGAGTCTGGGATGCCTTGGGGAATGGAGGAGGCTTTGGGACTCCTGGCATAGGCGCAGACTACAGCACTGAATGAATGGTCGTAAATTGAGGGCTACCTGTAAAATATAAACATGTCTATAACTTTCTTTCCCTCAATAAGGAAAAGTTCAGGATAACTTGTTTTAAATTACTTACTGTAGCTTTGTCAAGTACTTTAATCGAATGTGGCTCGGCCACATTGTGTTTCCTTAGGGCTTGTTCTAGCTGCTGGAGAGGTGGGCTGTCCCATTTTCCAAAAACCACTAAATCAATATCACTGTAGACATAAAACATAGCTAAAGTTTATTAGAAACTTACTGTAGATATTATACAGCAATTCTTTGAATAGGCAAATGACATAATTTGAAAGAGAGTGTTTGAAACATACAGACAAAATAAATATACCTCTGAATTGTCAAAGCATCCATGTTTTTTGTAAAGCTTCTAAGTTGTTTTAACTGTATCTGCAGTTAAACAACAATTCAGATGCTTTAACAATTGAAAGACAGGCCTTTGTTCACTCTCATGCACGTTGCAAACTATCTCTAATTGTTTATACAGTCCATATACACTACCTTGTCAATTTAATAATATTTAATCTAATGATGTGTTAGTCATTCATTCCAAATCAAAATTTTAACATATACAGCAGCCTTTCTCTAGTCCCAAGTCATATTGGACTACAATTTCATCATTTCCCATCAATTGGGTTGTTAGAAATAATACTCCAATACATTTGGAAGGCACAAAGCTGGGGGAGGGTCATAAAGAAGTTAAAATGCTACAGAGCCTCAGTCTAAAACAAACTTCCATGACAGCTAATACTGATATTTCTGGATTTTTAAAAGTTTGGTTTAGAAGTTATTTCATATCCAAGTTGATTGTTCATAGGTGGGTTTTTGTACCTGAAAGTTGTAGAAGGAGAATATTAATGTTCTATATGTTCACACTATTGTACAAAAGATGAAAAATTAGAAATGCTAGCATCCCTAGAGATACAGTACTCTAACGTGTTGATATAATAATTTTAGAGGTTTGCAGCTAAACCTGAAGAATCAATACCCACTTAAAATTAAACCAGATGTCTTTTCAATTATATCAATTTAAAAGAGTTACTTTTAAAGAGGTTTATTTGCAGTAGGGTACATAAATTGTATTTATGTCCTTACTGCACATAAACCTAAGTTAATGAAATGCAATCATTGTGTTATTCCTTCTCTCTCTGTTTTTTTTTTTTTTTAACTGTGGTCAATGTCCCTCTTTTTCCTGTATTGACTTCTTGATAACCAGTGTGGCTGGAGTGGTAATATAAGTCTTTATAAAGTGCCATGTAATCTTTTTGTTACTATTACCTAGCATTAGAGTCAATAATACAAGTGAAAAATTTCCAGACTCACCTTGTTGGCAGATAAAGTCCTGTACTAAAACTTCCAAATATCTGAACCTGGAAAAGAAAAATATCTATACTGAATTTAATTGTTGTAAAATTCTAAAATTAAAATATGTGTGTGGTCAAAGTTAAAATGATGTGTAGAGCACCAACTTAGGTAAGCTTACATCAGCTGTAGGCCAAAGATCTTTGATGACAGTTTCTATTCTTTTCACAACTTCTCGTCTCATAACTGCTTCTTCAGGACATGGGGACATAAAGTCATAAAAGTCAATTATTTCTTCATGGAGCCTATGGGAAGAATAAGAAAAATCAATAGCAGTAGAAAGAGAACCAAATGAACTAATCTACTGGTGACAGTGGATGCTAATCTGGATTTACAAGTAGAATATTTCAATTTCAGTTGCGTAATTATTCTAGGATTCCATCTCCAAACATATATTTTTCTAGAAATTAAACAGTAGGTTTATAAAGAAAAAGAATCAAATCTGTTTTTGTAGTAAACATATTAAATCAAAATCAAGCCTAAGATTTCCATACTTTGCCTCACCGAAGTCATATTTCTTTTCACTCACCTCGAGCATATTTGAAATCACTTCACATATATATGCACGTAAGACAGAAAAGTATCTGTCCATGTTAATCAACTATCAATCTCTATCATCATAATCATTATTATTATTACCGATACTAAATAATTATTTAAATTTATATCCCATCTTTTTTCTTCAGGAGCATAATAGTTAACATACTGGTCTCCTTCCATTCTTTTCATTATAATAACCATATATAGTTTGGTCTGAAAGAGAATGACTGGTAAAATATCACCAAGTCAGCTCCAATAGTCAAGGACAGAACAGCATGTGTCTACCTAATGTTATATAGGGGGTGTCAAACTGGATTTCTTTGAAGGCCGGATCAGCATTGTAGTTCTCCTTCACAGGCTGGCCAGGGTGGGGGAGGGGAGACGGGACGGATGCCTCCTGTAGCACTTTGCAGGTCAAAATGGGGCACGGGGGGCACATGCGCACCTTCACACCCCATTTTCAGCTTCGACAACTCCTGCAGCACTTTGCTGGCCAAAACGGGGTGCGAGCGGTGGAGTATTGCAGGAGGCCATCCAGGCCCAAAATGGGGCATGTGGGAGTCCCCATGCCCCGCTTTGACTGCCAGAAGCACTGCGGGGCGCCCTTTGCTATTTCCTGGCCGGCCTCGTGGGCCTTATTTAAACATTCCGGATCCGGCCCGTGGGCCTTGAGTTTGATACCCCTGGTGTAGAAAATACTTTCATTTTCCTTGTATTTCTTGATAAATACACACAAAGAGAAAGAATGTGACCTGCAAAATGTTAAAAAGTATGCAAGAGTAGTTAGACTTAGGAAGTACATTTCTGATCACAAGAAAATGGACCCAACATACCCTAAATTAATTCTATTTCATACAGCTAGGAGATGGGGCTTAAGACTTCTTCCTGTTCCATGGAGGAAATCCCATCCTTCAGTTAAATGTACTGATTTCAAATGATTAGTTTCAATTTTTCCTTTATCATGTAAAACAACAAGGATGATGGGAGGGAGGGGGGAGGCTAAAACTTATGAAGAACACTTGCAGGAATTGGGTACATCTAGTCTGGTGAAAAGAAGGACTAGGGGAGACATGATAGCAGTGTTCCAATATCTGCGGGGCTACCACAAAGCACTAGACAGCAAGACAAGAAACGATCGATGGAGAGAAGCAACCTAGAACTAAGGAGAAATTTCCTACGGGTGAGAACAATTAACCAGTACAATGCCTTGCCTTCAGAAGTTGGGGGTGCCCCATCACTGAAGGCTTTTAAGAAGAGACTGGACAGCTTCTTGTCTAAAATGGTACAGGGCAGTGATGGCTAACCTTTCCATCCTCGTGTGCCAAAAGTTTGTGCGCGTGTCAAAAGTGTGTGCCAGCACCCATAAGGCAATGGATGTGGGGCCCCCACACTCCCTGCGCATGCATGCATGACCCCCCACGTGTGCTGTACATCTCTGCACATGTATGTGGGACCCTCCCCATGTGCACCACGCATCTCTGCGCATGCACATACATCTCCTGTGCATGCCCCGCTCCCCGCACATGCGCAGCAGCTACCCGATAATCAGGAGGCGGGCGGCACGTGCGCATGCGCAGTGGACCTGCTCTGGGGCGACGGCTCGTGTGCCATAGGTTCTCCATCACGGGTATAGGGTCTCCTGCCTTGAGCAGGGGATTGGATAGAAGACCTCCAATATCCCTTTGAACTATGTATTTCTATGTTCTATGTATTCTACTTGTAAATGATACAATACATGGGAACAATATAAAACAATCAGCATAGTAAAGGCATTCATATATTGCTGCTTGGATAATCTCTTAATCTACTTCCCTCCTAAATAGCTGCATCTCTCTGTGAATAGGAAGGTACTTCACAGTAAGGTTAACTATTGTCCTTGTTCATCAAAAATTTAACAAACAGAAAAAGGGATACACTTAATACACTAATATTTCCAAGGTGAAATAGTTTATAACATTCTTTGTGATCAATCACTTATAAAATCTGGATCTGAAATGAATCATCTATTTTAAAATTGCTTTTAAAAATAGATTACTCTGTCCCAACCTAATTTCTATTAATTGTTCTTCTGCATTAAGTCTGCTAACAGTAATTGCTCTTTGGGAAGCTATGGCACAGGAAGGGAGCGGTATCTTGTTAGCTGTAAACATCAGGACAGGACATTTTCTCACTCATTCTGTTAATTGTGGAGAGGAAAGTTTAATCACTACTGATATCCTGTTTGCAAGAAAGATATTATCAGTCTTTCATATCCCCACAGTACATTGTTTCTTAGATCCTCAGAGCCTGAGCTCATCTCCCTGGAACCAAGAAGCTGGAAAACATAATCTCTTGTGTTCAATGAAATTAAGAATTTTATTTGAGGTATGAAGCAGGGATAAAGACTAGAAGACTTGTCCTTGTGGAACCTCCCACCAACTGAAAGCATTCCATCTCTTATCTCTCCAAGGTGAGATTAGGGATACTAAAGAACAGACTTAAGAAAGTTAGTGGGATTTTGTCTAATGGGTTTGAGGGGAAAATTAAAAACTTGAGATCTGTACTAATGATGAGTACAATGTAGTAAATGGTAGATCGTAGAGGATGATTAAGGATGAGACACATTCATGCCTAAGCAATTCACATGAAGATTGTCTGAGGAAGGTGCTATCTGTTGGTACCAGACAACCAGCTATAAAGCAAACTCAAGGCCCACAGGCCAGTTCTGGATCGGGCGCAGAGTGCTTAGATCTGACCTGTGGGGCTGCCCTGAAAATAGCAAAGGAGCAGCCCGCGGTGCCTTTGCTCGAGAAAATGGAGCTCGGGGAGGCTGCACGCAGCCCACCCGGGCTCCATTTTCAGTCATGATGGTCTCTTGCAACCCTCTGCAGTGAAAACTGAGCCAGAGGATACCCCATGCTCCATTTTCGCTGGCAGAGGGTTGCAGGAGGCCATTGTGGACGAAAACAGCCCAGTGGACGGCACGTTCCCCGAGCTCTGTTTTTGAGGAGAGGGCCACTGGAGGCTGTGACATTGAGCTGGCCATGCCCACCTTGGCCACACACACCAGCCGCCTGAGGCCAAACACAATCCTGATGTGGCCCTCAATGAAATCGAGCTTGACACCCCTGACCTACAGTAACTGCCGGCATCTGCAGCCTGATTGTTGCTAGCACTTTCAACTCTCTCTCTAGAGAGTGCAATAATTCAGGGATCTCTATTATCAATACCAAAGATTTCTAACTTTTGCATCATTATTCAAATATGCACCCGACCATCTAAAAGAATATGACCCTGCATTGGTCTCCATTGTTGAACTTGAAGGTTTCGGGCTTGCTTGTTAATTTTTAGCATATCTGTTGCTACTTTGAGTCTTACTGCAACACTAGAACTTGATATAGGATGTCTGAACTTTTCAGGAATTACTGCTGTTTCCTGTCTGGTCTCCTTTAAAAGAAAAAAAACATGGCCTCCTGGTCTAGAATGAATTGATTAGAATTTTCTAGTACCGAAATAGCTTAATTTGAATGGCACTTTGGGAAATGCTGTATGCATGACTTGTTCTGTCAACCATTAGGGCATTGATTCCCTCATTTTGTTGTCTTGAAATTAAGAAAAGAAGCATTTAACATGCCTATAGTCTACTGTCATGAACAAGTCAATATATCTCCATATTCTTGAAAAATTCTTTCACACACATTTTCATTTTCCTCCACTCTAGTTTGTTGATTATCATTGTTGACTCCTAACGGGATCATTATTCATTATGAGTTTTGGCCTACCTTGGAAGTTTGTCCCACTCTCCATCACCTAAGACTGGCATATTTGGTCATCTGAGTGGCATTCCCACTGCCAAACTGTCTACTACTCTAGCCGACTAATGCAACGACTGGATTACCTTGCTTGGCAATGTTATATGCAACTGGGTTCAGTTGGTAATCTGATGCTGAAATGAGAGAGGGAATCACTACAGTCATCTTGCTCTATAACCTTGCCAGCTTCAGATGTGCTAACATTCTGCATACTAGCCTTTCTTTCCTGGCTTCAAAATGCATTCAACGTATAAAGATGGATCTGTGTTCTTAAACGCAACATAAGAACTTCCACTGCTTTGATGAGTATATTGGGGGGATTGTGCCTGCTTGAAAATGAGCACAGGTAATCTTCAACTTAAACCATTCATTTAATGACCGCTCAAATTTACAACAGCACTGAAAAAAGTAACTTACAATCATTCCTCATACTTACAATTGTCATAGCATTCCAAATCATGTGATCGAACCTTGGCACTTGGCAACCAGCCAGAAGTGAGCTGTTGCCGGTTCAGACTGGTTCGACCGTACTGGTAGTGCCAACCACCAACTGTGCCCACCCACCTGCCCCAGTGCTATCCCATCCTATATATCTCACTCTGGCTCACTCACCCTCCCCATGCAGCCCAGCTGATTGTTGCGCCTCACCCGCTCTACTCACCATGGCTGCCCAAGAAGCTGTACATATGAAATCTCTGTGGGTTTAAAGCTGCATGCAAGTGCAGAAGGCGCACGCATGCTCACATTTTCGGTTCTGCACTAGGCGAACCGGTTGTTAAATTATGTGAAGCCCAGCATATATTTATGACAGCTGCAATGTCTGAGTGATACAACTGTTATTTGAGACCTTCCCAGATGGGGAAAGTCTGACAAGCAAAAGTCAATGATGGAAACCAGACTGCATAGTTCACTCA